GAGAGAGATAGATAGCTTTCGGTACGGGAGGAGGGGCGGGAGGATCGGAGAGTGAGCAATGTTACGGGTTTGGCAGGGTGAGAGAGCGAGAGAGAGAGGATAAGTGGTTAGGAATGAGAGGGAGAGAGATGGAGAGAGATCGCGTGTCGTCAGCCACCGGCAAGTGTTATACATATCTATTCCCCATCCATTCTACGTATATGTATCTGCTTACTATATCTTGCTAGGTACATGTGGACTTTACCGAATACGCACTTATCTACTCGCAACTGGCAGGGTACACGTGTTTCTGTCTCTGTCGCGCGCCGGGTGGCTCCCGTCTTTCGCTCTCTGTCGCGCTCTCTGATATTCTAATTCCACGCGCGACTCTCTCCTCACGATTTTCATTAGGATAACGCGTCCCGCAAGTCCCCACGTATTATCTTGCTACTTATGGGGGATATCTATTTGACGTAATGCGAATCTTTCGGGAATTCGCGAATCTTAGTAATGCGCAATTATGAGCATCGCGAAACGTTGGTTATGCCGGGTGGGCATGGGACACTTGTGAGAATAATGGGCTGTGGTGAGTTTTGTGGGAATTTGAAAAAAAAAAAAATTTTTTTTTTTTTATTATTCGGTCCTCTTCGACGACCTTACGTTTTAAGCCTTTTAGTGCCGGGCGACGATATATCGTTGCGTGTGCGATGCCACCTCATTCTTCGCATCGCAAGAAAGCTCTATCTCAAAATAAACGTTGAAATACAATTAGCATTACGTTATTCTCACTTCATTCCGTAATACGTTGTTTTTTCAATTATGTAATTATCATTTTTAATTTGATGACCCTTTTCCGAACTCGTCAAATTCGTCAAATTCGTCCGGTTGTTCTCGCATGGGCACCGGTTTCTCGCCCGGCACTGAAAGGGTTAATGAAATTTTCGCGAAATCTTCGTACCTCGTTACTTGCTCAAGCATCAGTCCTCGTATACCGTGTGTTCGAAAGTATTGCATACAATGATTTATTAAAGTATTGCGTCATCGTAGAGATACCGGACAGCCAGATCGCAGCGTTCTGAAAAGGATACGAGAATACGTAGAAATTGGGGAGCGAGCGGATCGGAGTAGGTTCGAAGTGTCGTCGAGGAGAATGAAAATTTCGTGAATATCACGATCAGTAAAATTTTCATATATTCGAGAGGACTGATTCTCGGGATTGTTTTTGTTTGTTTCAGATGTAATTTGAAAATTTCTTTATTTTCCCGTACTCCAAGTTGCGTATTTGAATAGAATTTTTTTCTCACTCCTCTCGATGGTTTTTTTTTCTCACTTCAATCATCGACGCCAGTACCTATAGCTGTAACGGGGTTAATACCTATTGTGCGAAGAAGATAATTTTCCGAGGGGCAGCTTGCCAAATTACATGCAAGGCATATATTAGCACTAGCCATAATCCATTGCGGAACTGAAACCTCCTTCTGTGCCTGTCCACGTTGACGGACAGACACGTCTCGTTTTACTTCTCGCTTTCGTAGGATTACCTGTTTCTAGCATTTAACGCCTGCAAAACTAATGGTCCTTCGTGCGTCCTGTCGTTTCACTCGTGGTTCGCCAAGTACGACCGGGCACAGTAGCCGGGTATAGCGAGAGCGTCGAAGTCATAGTTTACGTACGCTGGGTCGTCTACGGCTCCGAGTTTGAGAACCGCTGGGCCTAAAGTGAAACAAGAGCGATTCTTCGCGAAAGTCGTTTCCTCGTCATTATACCTTGTGGCTATAGCGGGTGACTCTTTTTTTTTTTTTAATAACTTCAACATCGCGAGTAAACGCTACGAAGTATACAGGATCGATCTTGCGGTCGGCTCGTGAATTCGACTTTAAAGTTTGAGGGGTTAACCCCTCATTTCATATAACTCGAGTCGCGGGACAAGCAAATTTTTTTTTTCTCCGAAATTCAACCCGAGATCGGATCGGTGGATGTGAAATAAATTATCAGGGAATTGTGGAACTTTTACACTCTCGCAACTGGCGTAACCTTATTGTACACCCTTGGCTATCGCACGGGTGTGAGATTAATGTTACGTCGGCGGCGAGAGGGTTAATTGTCTCGTTACGGGGACTCTTCTTGGCGTTTAATTATTTGTGATTTTTGGGTACGCGGTTCATGACCTTTTTTTTTTGTAGGTTTTATTTTTTTTTTTTTTTTTCTTTCATTTAACGCAAACCGTCATTCCAAGGGACTATACCGGGTGAACCGGCCTTTCCTTTATTTTGCATGTTCCTGGTACGTTTTAGATAAGATCCGTACGGGCAATGCTTAACGTCGATACATAACTTTGTTTTATGTCATGTGTTTATACCCAGTACTTAGTATCCTATATATATACATACATGTTAATATATGCATTAAGAATTATACGCGTACATCGTGCTGTATAGGTATACAGAGCTGCTGTCATAAAGGCGGGTGCACACGTAAGGATTGGTTGTACGATTTGTTTTTTGCACGTACACAGTGGTGAGTCCGTTATCTTTCTCTTTCTCGAAACTCCGGGAAAACTTTGGAAAAAGTTTTTGAAGAGAAGAATTATCTTTTTTTTCCTCCCCTACGTCGCTGAAAATTGTGTAGGGGCAGAAGCGAAGGAAGCTGTAGTTACGTGTATATACGTATATATACTGCATGGGGTGCAAGGAGGGTTGATCGTGATCCTTTCTGGCCACAGGGCACGGCTTTATCTTTCCCTTCCCATCCGTTCTCTTGTTTTCCCGCGGTGGCCGAAGGGGCGAATTAAGCGAAACCCATATATCCCGTGGAACGAGAAAGCTTCGTCGTACAATTCGCCTAATCCCGATTTCGCTCCTTGAACGGTGGTCAACGGCGATGACTTTTAATTACAGACTAATTATCGTTTGGCGTGGGCAATTTTTTTTTTTTTTTTTTTTTAATTAAAAAACCCGATCAAATCCTTGCGAAAATTTGACTAGATTTAATATTTAACGTGAAATTCGCACAGGGGTAGCAATGGGTGGGGGTTTACCTTGTTGGGGAATATTTCTTTTTTTTTTCGCCATATAAAATTATCAACCACCGTTATTCGATGGACGCCAATTTTCGTCGCGGTTTTCTTGGGCTGTGTTCGATCCTTCGATATTGAATCTACGTGTTATCTACTGGGTGTAAAACTATAACAGTAGAAATCGATGCGGATAGCGTCAGGGTGCATGTCGTGCATGGAACGTGTACTTAAGGGGATTGGGTGCACCTAAAGAGATGAAAATTCAGGGGGGCGGGGGTTGAGTAAGATGTCAGAGGTCATGATAAATTTTATTATTATTCGTAGATTGATTTTCTTTCGATCGACGAAACCATTTTATAAGAATCATTACTTTTGTGCTTGACTGTATCAGGTGTAAAATCCTTATGCGGAAATGTATTTAGGGTCAATTTTTTGGATTGTTTTTTTTTCCGCATAAACGTGGAATTGCCGTTTAGGGGGATTTTGGTAATTGCGTCAACTCATCGCTGTAATTTTTTATTAACCCTTTCCCGAGTGTACTATATATGTGGATATATTTTATATATGGTGTACAATATACGTGGATTAGTGTACTATCGTATTTTGTCTATATTGTATATATATATACACGTATATTCGCGCTAACACTTGGGAGTAATAAATCTACCTAAATTCCTCCAGGGAATTTATTGTCGGCAGTTGGAACAATTTTTAGGGAATCGCTGGGTTAATTTCGCAATGAGAAGAAAAAAAAAGGACGACGGATAAGGTTTTCTTTAGACGTAATTGGTAACTGGATTCAAGCATATTTTTCAGTTCATTGATATTATTATTATTTTTATTTATATAATTTTTCTATATATCGTCGATCATTAATTTTTCACCGATATATTTTTCAACTATTTTTAAGGTGTGTTTGAAATCGTAAATTTCATCCTAATTTTTTTTTTTTTTTTTTTTTTCTATTACAAATTTCATCCCTTATTCACTTGGCAATATTTCCATATGACGATACATTTTTTTACGGTGATTCAACGTGACGTTCGATAACGTTATTATCGTACGTATGAATGAAATTTTAGCTTTACGTAGTGACTGGCAATGACACGTGGTCACTGATGCTCCAGGGGATGATTTATCGGGAGGCGTCCCTTAAGATACTTAATAATTTCTAATAAACGTATGCCCGTGACACTCGCTTGTTTCCTGTGATAACGTTAACGAGATAACACGATTTTCATTTTTATTACCGTTATCAATCTTGTATCTAACTATTGGGTCAAGACCGTGTACACGATGACTCGATAGCAAGATAATGCCTTATCGTTAACGCATGTTAAAGGACCATCGGTTTACGTAGCAAATGCTTGATACGTGCAGTAAAATATTTTTCCACCCTTATAAGTATCTACCTTAACACGCTATTTTCTTTTTTTCGACACGTCGATATTATTTTACGAACTTTTCGTTAGACGCGACACAAGCGCGTCAGGTCTGTCTCGCCTAAGTTCCAGCAGCATTACAAAAACTTTCGTCAAGTTTTACGACGTACACAGTGAAGAAGAGAATTTTGCTTGATGACGTCAACGCTGTAACCCCTCGTAAAAGTTGTCAAGAGCGAACTGCCCTTAATGACGGGGATTCTCATAGGGCGTGAATAGCGCGAAGTAAAAAAAAAAAAAAGAAAAAATTTGTGACATGTCAAGCACGAGTTTTATCGTTTATTTTTAATTTTTTTTTCTTCTGCTAAATACGTGAAATGTATTTTTTTTTTTTTTTCAATTTTAGGTAAAAACGATATAATCGACATCCGCCTTCTGTTTCAGTACTACGAGATGTCATACGGCCTTAACGTGGAGATGCACAAACAGGTAAGACCCCTATTGCTTTTATACGACTTCGATATATCGATTATAAAAATATCGAATTGGACGCTCTTTTTTTTTTTTCACTTCCCCGTGAAGCCATCAAAACCTGATAAAATACCAAAGCCCCCATCCCTCGCGCGCGTTTCACGCAAATGCGTCTCGTTGCTGGTAATTTTCTTGAAAGCACCCTCTTCCAGCGAGAACAACCCCTCGATATCCGGACTAAACTCAAAAGCACCCCCCCCGTTAACCTAATGCTTTGATATTCATTAGCATTACCGGCCGATCATTTCTCACTCTTGTTTCCAGGGGCGGCAATTTAATGGGGTGTAGGATCGGAACTGTTGTCTCGGCACCCCTCTTTGCAACATACATATATATATATATACATATATTTTTCGTGAAATTATATCCACCTATTTCTGCCAAATAAAAAATCTTTGAAATTTCTTCGAATCCAACGCACTTAGCTGCCCGGCTAAAAGATCCTTGACATTTCAATGTTTTTTCGCCCAACCCTCTCTGTCGGGAGGCGTGAGAAATTCAAATGGCTGCACGGGCACATACATATATACACATATATAAAATTCCGCAGCCCGTCTCTATAATCCTTTTCAATTTAATCCCCGAATGGGAACAATCTTCCCCGTACGAGGTTAGACTCTTTTTTTTTTTTTTTCTTTCTTTTCGTTCCCCCCGCTTGTTCCTTTTACCCTTTTTAGCGCTCCGACAGCGCATCGCGTTTCTCTGTTTTCTACCCACGGTTTCCTGCTCTACCCTCTTTGTCACTCTCCCTCTCTTACGCGTCATACGGGTAGGGGTGGAGGGGGAGGCCTGCCCCCCCCTCACCACCTGTCTTAACTTCCACCTCCATCTCGCTGCTCTCCCACTCACTTGTACCCCTACCTCCCCTCCTCGCCTTTCCACCCTTTGCCACTTTTTTTTTTTTTTTTTTTTTTTTCCGTTTCTCTGACTTTCCGACTCTTATATCTCTCCAGCTCTCTCGCCTCGTAGCTTCTCTGTCACTCTACCTCTACTTTACCTTCCCTCTCTCCTCGTTCTTCACCCTTCGCTCGTACTCCGGATCCTCTAGCATAGACGCTCTTTCCCCGACCAGCCATACGCGCATCCAACGCTCTACCGGCTCCTCTCGCCCCTTCGACCAACTCAAATTCGCCGGCGCTGTCCCAGTTCGACTTTCCTCTTAAAACGGCGAATGTCAATCTTTCCAATACGTCTGTCGGTATACTCTGCGCCTGTTTTGTTTTCTTCTTTTTTTTTCTTATTACGACCTCGAAGTGACGTCACTGTCGAAAAATATGTTTTATCCCACTTTGCAATTGTTATCACGAGCGTCATCGAGACGTCGATTAGACTCCGCGGATTTTTACTTGGGCGGGTCTTAGGGGTGTGGAATTTTGATTTTTCGAATTTTGATCTTTCAATTTTTTTTGGAGGATTTTTTTCTCTCTCTCTTAGAATCAATATTACCTGATAGCGTTAGACGTATGTCGGCGGTAACTTTTTAACTGTACGGATCCTTCGTCGGGTTGTCCCGATTTTCTTCCTTCCGTCGTTAAAACGTTAACTTCACTGAATACGTAACACTTGTCAATGCCCATTACGCCCCGCGTAATCACGCTGGTGCTTTATCGTCCGCGTTACGCAATACGTAAAGTTTATCTCTGCGTAGAATTTAACGTGCCAACCGTGCGCCGTTATAACGTCAAACGAATGTTCATTTCGAATGACATTTTGCAGTGTCGAATTTGCAAAATTACATTGCCGAGCACCCCCCCTGCCCCCCTACGGTGTCTATCGTAAATTATCAACCCTGTCCATGTCAGTTGGTACACGACCGATTCAACCACCTTTGCATATAAAATATTTCGTATCGTTAAAATATCATACCTTGGGCTCTTTTTTTTTTTTTTTGAAAATAATTAAATTTCAAAAATTTATTCGCCAATCACTGTCGAGTAGCCTGTAAGTTAAATATGTATTAATTTTTTTTTTTTTCATATTCCCCATCAATTTACAACCCCTCTTATTTGCACTCGACTCGATTAACGTATCGAATCACCGTCGCGTCGTACGCCTTGTTACCCAAGAAATTTACCAATCCCCCCTCCCTCCCCCTCCCAACGACGTGGTGGCTTTACACCCGGTATACCGGTGCCGGCTGCTTGCTGTAGCTATTCCAAAATACGTTGTCTGTCCAGTCGCAGATATATACCCGGTTTACCCAGTACACTCTACGGCCCCCCCCCCACCCGTTCACCCCATTCTTTCGTGTCTATCAGTTCGACTTGGTGCAAGGGTTAGGGGTGGTTTTCCCGGTCTCGCGCCTACCGAGTCCGCTCAGTCATATAGGTTGCATAGCCGTATATTTCAGTTCTTTTATTTGGTCAAAAGGGCGGCGAAGGGGTGGTTGAGGGCTGCAGTTACCAAGGGTAGAGGGTGGCGATGAGATCGATTTTTAGCCGTTGCTAATCTCAATGTTAAACCCCTACCCCTCGGAACCCTCCCCACCTCCCTCCCGTGCTACCCCTTACCCTGTATCACATACGTCCGGATCCTCTTGTACGCGAAATCTTGTGCATTGACATATGAGGGGTTCAAATGCTTCTAGAACATTTAACTCATCTCGAACGTATTCCCGACCAAGATTCCCACGCTTGATCTTCTTTACTTGTAAATATAATTTTTTCTCTCCCTTATGCATTTAGAGCTTTGCCTTCGTATAGGAAATCGGTCGGTATCGATTTTTACTCATTTACCTTGAAATACTATACACGTGATACCTTGATAAGATACGACACCCGTTACGCTTGTCCCTGTATACAGCATATTTGAAGGATTCGTTTAATAGAGGATTTACAGAGTTGCCTTAATATTTGCCAAAAGGCTTATCCTCGATCTGTGATATTTGACGGGCGATACTGATTTCGATGAAAAATTTTGATAACACTTATCAAACATTTGATCGGGATAAATTTTCTGCTTGACGAGTTATTGTTTGTCTAATCAAATTCAAGGGATGATTTTTAAGTTGGACACTTTTTTTTTTTTGGCTACCTTTATCTCTACTCGTGTAAGGGTGACTTTAGAGATCCGTCCCTTTTTGGGATCTTGATCGCTGTACCGCTGTTTGCTTTGAGCCGTAACGCTGTTTTGTTATTATTATTTTTTTTTAAATCCTTACGCAATGCTTGTCTCGCTGACGTAAACGTTAATTTATATTTGCAGACGGAAATCGCGAAACGACTGAACGCAATCATCGTGCAGGTCCTGCCGTTTCTTGCGCAAGAGGTGAGTTGTAAACTTTTCAGTTGGCCAATTAATCCGTCCTGATTCTGCATTGAGTTAACAACGCGATAATGAATAGCATGGCTTGCAGCATCAACAGCAAGTGGCGAACGCGGTGGAGAGAGCCAAACAAGTCACTATGACGGAACTCAATGCGATTATAGGGGTGAGTATAGACGACCGTCGACCAGTTGGTAATTCAGTATTATACAGTCGACCAAGCGATTAAGGATTTTGCGTATAGGTGGAAAAGAAATATAAAAAAAAATTTTTCTCACGTACGGACGAAGAAACTTTAGTGCGTGTATATATATATATATATATATATATGTATGGTTCTCTCTTGTGCTTGTAGCAACAACAGCAGCAGGGATTACAACAACTTTTGGTAAGTAATTTTCACGTTGGCACCGATTTCGTGTGATTTTCGTTAAATGTATGGTTCTCTCTTGTGCTTGTAGCAAAAAAAATTTTTCTCACGTACGGACGAAGAAACTTTAGTGCGTGTATATATATATATATATATATATATGTATGGTTCTCTCTTGTGCTTGTAGCAACAACAGCAGCAGGGATTACAACAACTTTTGGTAAGTAATTTTCACGTTGGCACCGATTTCGTGTGATTTTCGTTAACGAGAAAGCGCGTAGAAAAAATCGATGCCTCGAGCCTATGCACGCGTCACGTAATCGACGTCATAAGAACCTCTATCGTCGACGACAGCGACGCCACGTATATCAGGACTTGGGTTAAACTTCGAAAATTCGAGTCGCTCGTGAACGCGGGTAGTATCGCAGCAATTGCCAGGAGTTCCGGATGAGTTAAGTTGGTAGCTCCGCGTCATTGGATACTGCGGTTCCGCACTTGAGAAGATCGTGGTTTGCGCAAGCGAGCGGACAATGCATGTCAATTTGGAAACCTAACCTCTCTCGGGCCTCGTAGGCGACTTGGGAGCAATAGTCGCGCGGCAGTAAGCAGCGCCCTCTGTGAGCTTGGCCGGGTAGCGTCTGTCGCGGTAATCTAGTGCGCGAGTCTCCGCAGAGCGTCGCTGGCGTAGCCGCGCGGGAATATTTGAAAAGTGGCATCGGCCCCCGTTAATATTCGCTGGGCTGAACGTGCCAGTGCTCGAGGCGGACGGGACTATAGGGGAAACGTGTATTTCGCAGCAACAAATCCACGCACAGCAAATACCTCACGGAGCCGTGGTAGGAGGATTGCCACCAGCGGGTCTTCTTGGATTTGCCGGGGCGGCTGCGGCGGCAGCCGCAGCCGCGGGCGTTCCGCCGCACCTTGCGCCACCGTCGCATCCTGCGGCCGCCGCCGCTCAGGCACAGGCGCAGGCACAGGCTCTCTTGAAACCGGTAGACCTTCAGCATCGAGGAGCCGTCGAAACGCCCGAGGATCGAAAACCCATCGCGTTGACGGACGAGAGGCTAAGACGCTCGGTCTCGCCCGCGGAGAAATTCAGGACACGGACGCCTGACATCGAGAGCGACTCCAAGCGGCGAAAAGAAGAGAAACTTGGTCACGTGAGTATTACGTCACACGGATAGCCTACCGGCAGGCGCATGAACTACGTACGGTACTTTTGAATTTCCCGCGCATCCAACGGACATATTTAAAATCGTTATACCCCTCGAAAGCATCGTGTTCGTTGTGTTACCTTGGGTTAGAAGGCGAACGGTTCAGTTCGTGCGTGCCGAAGTTTATCAGTGAAAGCGTCGAGTGGGACGTGTTACATAAAAATTGTTAGGGGCAGCCAAAGTAGCAAAATGCACCACTCGTTGCGTAAAGAACTTGGGAAACGCATTTCGCACGTGCCTTCGGATTCAATTATTTTTCTTGTCATTTTTCTACGAGGCGCCTAGCGCCTCGCTCTTTCCCTCCAGGCTAAACAGGTGAACCCCAACCTTCTTCGCATGGGATTGACCCGAGGCTCGGTTACGGTTTTAAAAATTCTTTCTCTAGCCGTTTGCTTCGCTACTGGCGTCCTCCAGCCGGATGCCGCTCGTTACGAATTCTTGACAGCGCTTACGAGTACGTCTAATCCGTTTTAACCCGGGAGAACTCGGAGCTTGTTTAAAGTTATTTCTCGAAAGGGATTCCTCCAATTTCAGTTTCCAGTTGATCCGAACGCGGACTCGCAGGGTCCGAGCCGTAGCCGGAAATGAGTTCTCGTATGTCGACGTCGCTCTTGGAAAACTAGCTCCGAGGGTGCTTTCAGTCGTAGTTCTCAACCTTCAGGAAGGCATTAATCATACCGGTAACACAGCGCACACCTAGCCACCGGCAGCCACGATTTTACATCCGAAAGTGCGGCTTCACTACGGGGAATCCCCTTAACGCGATATCCAAAATTTTACTTCGAGCCAATCTTTTTTCTTCGCCCCCGGCGAACCAATTTGCTCGCATCGAATTTTACAGACTTACAATTCTTCTCGTACATCAAGTCATACCTATAGTCATACCCTCCTGATCAACCAAGCACCCGATGACATACCCCTACGAAATGCCAGTAACAGGTGTAAGCCAGCCATCGGGATACATCCAGGATTCGTCGAAGAAAGGTCCCCGTACAGAGAGAGAGAGTGAGAGAGAGAGAGGGGGGGGGCAGGGGCGAAAATAAGAGAAGGGTCGAGGGGTGCACTGCGGGGGCTGAATTTTTCATCTGACCACGTCGAACCAATTAAAGCGGACCACGCTGCCCCTACCCCGTCATCCTCCTTTTTTCGTACTCTCTTTATTTCCTCTGCCGCCCGGCCAACCTCGCACCCCTATAGCTACCCAGCC